GACACTCCCCGCAGAAGCGGGTAACGGCTGACAGAGCGCGGGAATATTCCTGACTGGAAATACTGGACGGCAAAACGCAACTCATTCTTACCTGCAGGCAAAATGCGGTCATCTGAAGACGGAAAGTTTTCGGTTAATTACCCGAATACGAATGTACAAGTCATATTTCACGGTAAGACGATCGTTTTTCTCCTCAGACGCTCCTTCCATTGAGAGGATCGTGTGATTTATCGATGAATGATCAATATGAGAGAGACTGGCTGTCTGTCTCCGGTGTTTTCTGCATTTTTAGGATGCGTTAAATGTGCTGAATGTCACGAGCTGTTACGCACGTTATTTTCCCTCATAAACCGAATTGATTTTGCAGTTTTGCGTTCATTTTGAGAGGCATGTTAAAGGCTTAAATCGCCGTTTTATTCGAGTCCTTCATCAAAAAGCATTACATTAAGGAATACACTGTTTCTCGTTTTTACAGTCTCCATTTATGTACAAATATGAACAATTATTTCCTGTTTCTATTTCTAAAACTCTTATTTACATGTAAATGTGCCCATTTTGTACTGTTCGGGTTTGTATTAAGAAAAGAAAAGTCTGGATTACTGTTAACATTGTCAGATACAAACATTAAGCCTTTAAATTGACCGTAAATCTCATCATTAGTCAATATTGTTGATTGTGTGAAGCTACATATTATTTAAGGTCTGGATTAAGCTGGTCGACATATGTCCATGCTTCTGGTTTAAAAGACTCTCAGGTCATTTTATTTGTTGGATCAGCTTAGGTTTTTGCTTTGCTTTTAAAGCTCTTCTAGGATTATGATGCTAAGAACTCTTTCTACAATGTGGATATTTAAAAATGTACCTCTAAATATCACTCATAACCAGCTCGTATCAGTAGAATAGTTATTAAAGCACTTATTATTTATAAAAACATCAGTATCAGCAACTGTATAGTTGACTGTGCTGGACACATCCATGCATTCTAAAACAAGTAAAATCTGTTATCATAACCCATTATTGTGTCAGATATGAAAAAACCCAACCATTATTTATTCTAAAGTGTCATGTAAATTCATTCATTCATTTTCATTTTGGCTTAGTCTCTTCATTAATAAGGGGTCGCCACAGTGGAATGAACCGCCAACTTATCCAGTATATGTTTTATGCAGTGGACGTCCTTCCAGCTGCAACCCATCACTGGGAAACATCCATGCATACTCATTCACACACACACACACACACACTATGGACAATTTAGCCTACCCAATTCACCTGTACTGCATGTCTTTGGAATGTGGGGGAAACCGGAGGAAACTCACAGCAACACAGGGAGAACATGCAAACTCCACACAGAAGCGACAAACGACCCAGCCGAGGCTCGAACTAGCAACCTTTTTCCTGTGAGGTGAACGTGCTACCCACTGTGCCACCATGCTGCTCCATAATGTAAATTTATTTTTAAAAAATGAAATATTCACCAAAGTGTCACCAGGACATTTTTTTTTAAATAAAGTATATAATATATGATTTATTTGGTAAAAACGTCATTGGATTTGTCCACATTTGACCCAACATTGGGTTACGACAGCCCAGCATTCATTTTTAAATGTGTGTGAAGGAGAATAGCTCTAAATGCGGACAGTGTTTACTGCATGACGTTGTTGCATCACTGAGTTTCTACATGATGTGGTTAGTCATGTAAGATATTGTTTGAAGGCAGTGCAATAATTAATGCAGGAATTCATGAGCTGTTTGCTATCGGAGCTCATTAATGCATGCAGTGTGCAGCAGAGCGCATGAGGATCTCTTCATGCTGACCAGCTTTTCACAACCGAGGATCTGGGATGACTAGAGCAGCGTAATAAAGAGACCGAGATGTATATTTGCAGATACACATGCTGAAGAATTGCTGGCGCCGGCAGATCCTCTGGAAATCATGTCAACATTAGAGACCACTCGGACAAAACCGTTGAGTTAAGAAAACCTAAACGTGCATTAAAGCTGAAATTTCCTCTTGTAATCCAAACCTTACCTTAGTTTCCCACCGGAATTCAGATTTTTCTGTTGAATTTAATCAGGGTCAATATGGAGGATCTATTTAATTTAGATTACTGTTATGGCGAGGGACATTTCACTCAAAAAGGACAATTTACTCATTTTTACTTGTTTTCTTTGTTGTTAAAAACATTTTCCATAGATTCTTTTTTTAACTAGTAATAATATACGACAAGCGGTGATGCGGAGGCACAGTGGGTAGCGCTTCTGCCTCACAGCAAGAAGGTTCCTGGTTCGAGCCTCGGCTGGGTCAGTTGGCATTTCTGTGTGGAGTTTGCATGTTCTCTCCGGGTGCTCCGGTTTCCCCCCCACAGTCCAAACACATGCAGTACAGGTGAATTTGGTAGGCTAAATTGCTCATAGTGTATGTTTGTGTATGAGAATGTATGGGTGTTTCCCAGTGATAGGTTGCAGCTGGAAGGGCTTCCGCTGCGTAAAACATATGCTGGATAAGTTGGCGGTTCATTCCGCTGTGGCGACAACAGATTGATAAAGGGACTAACCTAAAAAGAAAATGAATGAGTGAATGATATTAAACAAATCATTTACATTATATTTAATTAATTTTTTATGTTAAAGGAAGCAAAATGCTTAAGTTGATTCAGTTACATTTGATTATGTTACTAATTTTTGTCTAACTTATTGTTATTTTTTTAATTAACAGAGTTGATGAGTTGACAATTACACAGTTGACGATAGCATAGTTGACAGTAACAGAGTCACCGATAACATAGTTGATGGTAATAGTTGACGATTACAGAGTTGACCGTAACAGAGTTGATTACAGCAGAGTTAATGATAACGTAGTTGACGATATGATGGTTGATGATATCATAGTTGATGGGTACAATGTTGACGGTAACTTAGTTGACAATAACAAAGTTAATGATAGCATAATGGATGGTTATAGTTGATGAAAATAGAGTTGATGATCACAGAGTTGATGATAACAGTTGACAGTAAGAGTTGACTATATCAGAGTTGACGGTTACAGAGTTGACAGTAACAGTTGATATTAGCAGAGTTGACAATAACAGAGTTGATAATAGCATAGTTGACTATAACATATCTAATAAAAACAGAGTTGACGATAGCAGAGTTGACAATAACATTGTTAATAATAACAGAGTTGGGCGATGCAGTAGCACAGTAGGTAGTGCTTTTGCCTCACAGCACGAAGGTCGCTGGTTTGAGTCTCAGCTGAGTCAGTTGGTGTTTCTGTGTGGAGTTTGCATGTTCTCCCTGCGCATGCGTGGGTGTTCTCCGGTTTCCCCCACAGTCCAAACACATGCGGTACAGGCGAATGGGGAAGACTAATTTTTATATTCATTAAGATTTATTTTTACACTCTCAATCAAACATTTGCCCTGAAGTTCCAAATAAGCTAATCACACATGCATGAGTGCAGTTTTCAGCACATACTTTAAAATGTAGAAAAGAAACAGTCCTTTCCATGTGGAAACAGTTTCTGTATGTATTGTAAGGAGGGCTGTACAATATTTGAATAGGCTGATGTGACAATGTTATTTTTCAGCAAAAAACATTGCAATATAAAGACAGTTTCACAAGATTATTTACTATTACTATTCGTCAGTTTTAACAGTTTTCAGGTTGAGAAATTGATTAATCACAATGCAAAAAAAAATGCTCTTCTGACTTTACTTTCTCATGTCTAGTTAGGTCAAGTTAGAATATTGTTTTGTTTTAAAATTGAGGTGAAATAAGGAAGTTAATTCAAATGAGTTTTTCCATGATCTGCCAGTGGGGTAAGTTAAATTATCTTGTTTTTCTCTTTGAAATGTAGATATTTGGACTACAAACAAAGGCAAAAAACGTTCTTTATTGCATAAATGATATAAAGTACAGTGGTAAAATACAATTCTGTAGCTCCTGGTCAACTTTAATCCAGACTTAAGATTCCATATGTTTGCGATGTGACTACTGCAGATGAGCACACTGCGATATCCATGCTGAAATGATATATTGTGCAGCCCTGATTGTAACTATCAATGGGTTGAATTTATAGAAAAGGAGCAATATTGTGCTAAGCTGACATTGTGACTTTTATCATCTCTAAGCACTATAGTACATATTGATAGCTCTTTTTGTTGTTGTTAGGCCCTATTCTGTTTTAAGGGTGGAATATTGTTTTTATAGTCAATATTCATGGTCTAAATGCCTCTTTAAGGTAGCAATTGGATGTTATGTTTTTTACAGTAAAGCAAAACTGCGACTAACAGACTGTATAAACCCGATCCAGAGGAGCAGCAGAGCTGGATTCAGATCAGTGAAGGCAGTTTTAGCCAGCAGCACATCCTTCAGACAGAGTTTTTGACTGTGTGAACAGCGGATCATTCATTTTCCTCCCACGAATGAATGTCAGCAGCATATGCTTGGTGAAATGAGTTCATGCATTTGTGCTGCATTAAAATCACAATCAGAAAGAGCTGTATTGCCAGGTACACTGTACAAAAAAACACTTAGTTTGCTTTATTTAAAAAAACGAGTAAACCCACTGCTTTTAAAGCGATTAGTAGACTGTACTTTAAAAACATGAGTTATCTCGTTGCTTTTAAAGTGAGTAGTTGACAATCCAAAAAAAGGATTTTAAAGCAATTGGTTCACTTTACTTTAAAAAATCATGTTGCTTAAAAATGAGTTAACTATGTGCTTTTAAGGCAATTAGTTGACTTTACTTAATTATTTTAAAGGGGAGTTGCTTTAAAAGTGAATAATTGTCTTAAAAATGTGAGTAAACTCATTGTTTTTTAAGCAGTAAGTTGACTTAAATTATTTTAAATGTGAGTAAATCCATTAGTTTGAAGCGATTAGTGGACTTAAATCAGTAAACCCATTGCTTTCAAAGGACAATTAGTTTGTTTTACATAAAACTAAGTGTAAACATTGCTTTTAAAGCAATTAAGTAACTTAAAAGTGAGTAAACTCATTGCTCTCAAAGTAATTAGTTGACCTTACTTTAAAAAATAAGTAAACCCGTTGCTTTAATGTTGATTAAAAGTAAAGTAACTGATTTTTAGTGTACATTTACACACAGAATTATCCAAAATGGTGGTGCTGTGGGTAGCACAATCTCCTCAAAGCAAGAAGGTCGCTGGTT